GACTGCAGTTTTCCCTAACAGAAAGCAAAATTTCACGCACACTCTTTGTTCCTTCTGGTCGGCCATCTCACTAATCGCCAAAGGGTTGAAACAGGAACGCACACAACAGAGCACCACAGACAAACCACTTAACTCAGACTGACGCCAGCTCACTAACAGTCGCGGGAGACCCCCAGCTAACAGCACCTAGCAGCACAACTCGTAACTACAAAGCATGCGCGCGCAACAGGTCGTTTCCGGTTATTTTTGGGTCCCCCTTCGTATGTTACCTTCATCTCCGTGTCCCCAGCATACTTTTATGGCATGGTGCTTAGGCATTGGTAATTTTTGGTTATTTTATGATTCAGTTGTATGGCACTGCACTCAGCAGTACCGGAACTGAATGAGCATTGTTAAATGTACACTACTGAAAACAGGTTCTGAGGCACCTTTGTATTTAGTTTTCTAACAGAATTTGAAAAAATTCTTAGATGAAAAAGAATCCTTCTGAAACAGCAGGCAGTGACTTTCTAACTTCAGAATTCTCGGTTGACAGAATACTGTAACAGGGTTTTTACTGTCCTTATCACACAATGTCACAGATCGATGCATCATTTCTCTCTCTGCGTTACTTTTAGTTACGTTTGTCTTGCAGATTCATGCACAGGTATATTACTCATATATTAAAGTTTTATGTTAAAAAAAAAAAACATGCCTTAAAGAGTTCTGCAAAATGTGACTAGAAATTTCCATAATCATACCGCTTTGGTTGTTGAGAAATAAGTGGCATATATATTGGTGGTACAAAATGTGATTAAAACAAAGGTAAAAATGAATGGCTGTATGAATTTGAATTAAACCAATATTAGCTGGGTAGAGTATACCTGAATATTTGTTCAAAAAGATTTATTCAGTTTGCTTCATTTATTACACTGAAAAGTATTTTACATTTTGAATGTTAAAAAAAAAAACTTTTATTTTCATGTTACCTGCTTGTTGAAACTGTTAGTGCTATAGGTGAATTTATCAGAGCCACAAATCATCCAAATTCTCCAGATTTTAGTCTGTTAGTTAACAATGTCTAGAATGAACTTCAGGAGTTAACATATGAGGGCTGTTTGGAAAGTAACCTTTGGTGAGAAATGAGAATTTATGCAAAAAATGTGTATATGCTTAAGCTACTTCTCATCGTCATCACTGCCAGAATTGAAGCACTTATGGTATTGGGGAATAAGTTTTGTTTGCTTGTGTCAAAGACTTATGCCGCCAGTGAGCTCAGCCATGGTTTGACACATTCCCTCAACTCCATTCCAGTTGAAGTGCTGTGATCCCAACCAGTTCTTCAGGTAGGTATACAGGTGGTAGTCACTCGGAGTTTGATCAGGGCTCTAAGATGGTGGTCAAACAACTCCCAGTTGAAATGCTCCAGCAATGCTTGAGTGCAAGCAGCTGTATGTGGATGTGCATTGTCATGGAGGAGCAATACACAGGATGTTATCATTCCTATGACCCTGTGCAGTTTTTTTAGTGATTTGAAACACACTTCTGACATTATTGTGGTCATGTGTTGCATGAATTCCATGGGCAGCACTACTTTCCTGTCCCAAAGAACAGCTGCTTTCAGTTTTCTGACACGTAATGTTTTTCGGCATGTTTGATGAATGTGTGTGCATCCACTTCTTTGACTATTTTTTGGTTTTAGCGTTCTCAAATGAAACCCAGATTTTAGTACCTGTTATTTGTACGATGTAGTTGAGAAATTCATCACAAGTTCTGTGGTGCTGCTCTAAAAAATTCAAAGCTGAAGCCATTCTCTGCGTTTTATGTGCATTTTTGGAACTCATCTTGCACAAAACTTGTGATAATCTTGTAGAGAACAGTGCATGAAATTTGTGGAAATTCATACGAAAGTTCTGAAATTGTGAAGCACTGTCTTTCACAAATTTTTAGGTCAACACTTTGAACAAGACCATCACTACAGATGGCCGACCACCTCGCTCTTCATCGTGAACATTTGTTTGCCCATCTTTGAACATTCTGCACCACTGTCTTACAGTTCCTTCACTCACTACATTTTGGCTGTAAATTGTACATAATTCATAATGGATTTCCACAGCACTTGTATTTTTACCATGAAGAAACCAGATAAGAGCGCGAATTTCGCAGCTGGTGGGATTATCAGTCACAGGACGCATCATGACTCACTCTGCAGAGACAGGAACAAACACTAAATGACCAGTTATATGGTGGTTTACAAGGCAGTGAGTTATGTGATGCTACCTTGCATGAGCGAACTTTCCCCCACGCCTACATTAGTTGCCTAATATGAAGTGAAGTTACTTTCTGAATAGGCCACGTCATAACTCAAGCGGTTAGTCGCTGGCTTCCCACCGCGGTGGCCTGGGTTCAATCCCGAGTCTGGTCAAGTGGGATTTGTGGTGGACAAAGTTGCACTGGGGCAGGTTTCCTCCGAGTACTTCGGTTTCCCCTGCCAATCTTCATTCCACCAATCACCCTCACCTATCATCTGGGGTTGGTACAATAGGCCAGAAGCGGCCGCAGTACAAGGGACTTAGTCCCACCCCAGTAGCAATAAAAAAAATACTACTTTCTGAATAGCCCTCATACAATAACCAGAGGGAACTGTTTGAGTCCCTGGAGTTATTGCAATAAAGAATTGAAAATGGGTGGCCTCTTGTATTACATGGTAACCCCAATGAGCCATTGACCAATGGAAAAGATGGTTTCAGGCTGCAATTCAAGAAGGTGGGGGTCTAATTCAGCACTGATTCTGAAGAAAACACGTGACTGAATCATAAGTAAAAATGTCTGCTTCTAATATTGAAAGGGAAAATATTTGTCTGTGTAATCAACAAACTGAATTGAATAAATCCTTTGGTATACATTATATACCGTATTTACGCATGTATAGGCCGCACATTTTTTGCCAAAAATTCAAGAGGAAAACTGGGGTGCGGCTTATATTCGAAATATTTGAAATCACACTTTATTTAAAAAAAATTAACGTTGCCAAATTTCAGAATAATTTCTACTCCTGAAATAATATTCCAATTATTTTTTCTATAATTTCTGTCCGAAAATTGTGCTGCGGCCTATACATGCGTAAATACGGTATGTACTATACAAGAGATGAGTTTCATTCAGATCCATAAAGCTGTTCTTTTACCATTCTTTCAAGTATATATTTTGTGCTGCTTCATATGTATGGTATATCCAAGTCATGTAAAATATATAAATCCTGTGTTAATTCCTCTAACAATTATTACAAAAGAACATGTTAACTACTAATATGGAGGAACTGACTGAAATTGTTTACCTGTAATTTAGCATGTCATGTCATGGCATGTCACAAAATTAGTAGAAACAATTCTCGGTTGCTTTTGTCTCCCATAAGAGTTCCATTTAAAAATTGCTGTATGGCCCGTGTGTTTGCTGTTGTCACTGTGTTGGCAGAACTGTGCGTCTCATAATGAAAGTTACTGGACTGCTTACATGAATTGGTATCTTAATGGGTTAAGCATGATCATGTCCTTACCTGAATGCAGCTGTAGTGTGAATACACCATAAAGAGATAAAATTAGTGAATATCTTCTTTTGTTCAGAATATGATGTAATGTTTATACATTTGTTTATTACTTTCATATTACACAAGATATGCAGGTATATTAAATGCTAATTAATATAGACCAGGTTTTTAGACCTTGCCTCAGGATTACATGCGAGTAGAACTGAGTAGTAGTAATGGGGTGGTATTCACATCTGAAATGTGGGAGGGATGGTGATGCACTGTAAATTAAACCCCTGATACAACCCATATGCACCCTAAAATTCTTATCTCAGGGGACCTGGCCAGATCCACTGAGCATTTTATTGAGAATGGCGTGGTCTAAAAACATGGACAATGTATAAATTGAAACGGTTCACATAAATTACAGTATTTCATTATAAGGAAACAAGATAAGCATGCTATTTTCACCTTAACTGTTGATTCACAATTTATTTTCCCCCAAACATGAACCTTAATATAAATTTAATGTGATTTAAAACTCATAAGTATTTTTAGTACATTAAAGCTATATGAGTAAAATTTACACACCTACACAGTTGATTAATAATCATGTGCAGCAAGTCTTTACTATAGGTACAATGAAGTTTTTAGGTAATTATTCCTAATTTAAGGATTTTCATCATTTAGCATACATCTATGGTCCATGCAAAATCATTTGGTGCCTAGAACAGGCATCGTCACATTTCCTAAAATACTACTGACATATACAGATGTATGCATTAATGTGATGTAACAACTCAGTGGCACAGAAAAGATTTTCATTGTTATAAACTTCCCATGCATTGACCAGAGAATCAGTAAAAATGAGTATTGCTTGTATTTCAGTAATGCAGTGAAACTGTCATTTAATCTGTCTTGGAAAGCTGTAGATTTGAGCGACAAACTGAAAACAGTTTTAAGTGGAGGAAATTTAACACAGAATATTGACTTTGGATCATTGAAATTGAACATTAGATACAGGTAAACCTTAAATCTTGGAACATTATTTGTGGGTTTCACTGTATTTTTAAATTAATTAGAAGCTTGAACATTTGACTGCTCTCTATAATGGGGTGTCAAATGTATGTGCAAGAAAGGGACATAAAACAAGGACAGATACAAGCATATGAAGCATACACTATGTAATGTACAAAATGTATTGAACATATAAAGCATTACCATGTATGGTGGAAAATAAACTTACATATAGACTAGAAACATTTCTACTTGTAACAAGAAGCATGTTTTGTAAAGTTACACTTACTTAATGATATAATGACTGTCTTCACAGTTGTATAAATAGTTCAGTTATAATATAACTTGCATCACAGTGTGATAATTGGAATGTTTTACATCCTCCTCTAGAATGGATTGGCACAATTAGAATGTAGATAGCACAAAACAACAAAAAACCCATCAGAGATGGGTAAATTTCTGTCTTCAGACATACTGTTAACTTATGTTCAATGAATGATATGGGAATGGTTGAAAATGATGATGGATATTGTGATGACAGAGAAGGGAAATGAACTGACTGAAAGAAACCAGCTGTAGTGAGTTTTACATTTATGGACATAGCACTTGATAGTAGATGTTCACTAGAGGTAACTGGTGGATCTGCTGACCATGACTTTTTTAAGAATAACCCTTCTTCAATTGTTTTCCAGCCTCTAATTTCTTGTGACGCAGCAGATGCATAGCAGAGGCTCCATCTCTGGGCCAAGTTTTCTCTTCTCTTCTTGCATTCCTTCACCACCACAATATTCTACCCCTTTCCACCAGCCTTGATTGGTGAACAAGAAATTCACTTTAAACAAGCGCTCTTAATTTCAGTCACCTAATTGGTTTCACATTTTTCAAACTCGCATATAACAAGGAATACCTTGTACATTGTAAATGTTGTAGAATGTTCAGAGAATTCATCAAATATCAGCTGGGAATTGCTGAAGTTTAGATTATGACTCAAATATGTAACATAAATCCAGTCATATAAACGTTTCTTGTATTAGGTATCAGAGGGGCATGTGGTAGCATACTTGGTTGAGGCACTGTGCTATGAGCCAGAAGGTCGTGGGTTTGAGTCCTGGTGAGGTGGATTTTTTTCAGTTTACTTAATCCTTCCAGCTGCACTATGGCCCTGGGATTGACTCAGCCTCTAACAGAAATGAGTACCAGGAATCTTTCTGGGGGGTAAATGGCGGCCAGTGCACAAGGCTGACAACCTTACAGCTATCTGTGAGCCGACTGTCTAGGGAGCCTCAACATCTCACAACCCTATGGGCCTCCACGGCCTGTTACAGGGATACCTTTACCTTTTATTATATATCAGATTCTAAAACGTAATGAACATCGAGGGTACACAATCTGAGCAACTGATACAGTGTCATAAAATTACTGTACAGACTAATCATAAGTGACTCAATTTACTATGAAGAATATCTGTAGTTATGAAACTGAAGGTATCATTCATCCAGAAGCAGTATCAGATAAAAATCTGATAACATTTATATGGAGCTATGTTACTATTACATACTAAGCTCAAAAGTATTACTCAAGTAGTTATGATTATACTGAATTAGTGAAGTACAGAAATACGGTTGGTGATCTCTCAGTTTTCTCCAACATGTGGATCTGACCCCATAACAGCTTTCTAATCATAATTAAATATGACACTTTTATTGACTTTTGGAATGCATTGCCTCACGTTCCTTCACATCCACGATGCCAAGATTCTTACATGCAACATATCCATGTAGAAGAGAGATGAGTGACTTGACAATGGCCACTGGGGCAGAGATGTAACACACTGCTCGGAAAAGGCCCAGTCCAGCAACTGTTAACAAAACACATGCAACAGAAGAAGTGAGCGTAACTACAATAGTATTTCAGAGTTATCGTCAGTCTGCTTCTATAGGCAATTAGATGGTGCCACACACTTCTTATTGTCATAGTGTGTACATGCATGTGTAAATATTAGTGGCCATTGCATAGCGGCTCGTTCCGATCATAGTTTTTCATTTGTATCTAAGTTCGTCAACCACAGTATTTGTTTTCATACATCTGTAGTGTTTAATTTGTGTATATACAGGACCAGTCACTGGCTTCCACACCACGAGATCTACATTTCCTGCGGACAATGCTGTAATGGCTGTATAATCAGTTTTCTGTCTCCCAGATAATGATTGTGGTTTACCTTTTGCATGTTTTTAAATATAATTTTGAAATGTGTAATGCATAATTTAGTCTGTATTTGATATATAAAATGAAATTAATTATAATTAATTGCACTGGGGCAGATGGGGAAAGAAATATGTGATGCAAAACTGAAATGTTCATACTTCTGAAAGTGGTACAGAGGATCCACATAAATATGGCAATGTTGAGGGAACAAGAAGAGAAAAAGATATAATTGCATTATCAGTGTCTGCGGTATGCATAAATGAGTATCTCAGCACAAGCTGATGTAAGTATGGGAAAACAGAATCGGTTCGCTCCATCTTCATATGACCACAGAAAAACTGTCCCAAATACAATTAAATTCTACTTGACATTGATTTTCTTCTAAATAAAGGAGCATTTTCTGCTACTAAAAACATGCATTCTTTTGTACTCTGCTTTTCCTATATTTCTTCTATGTTAGTAGGACTTCAAACTGGGATAGTGATATAAAAAATGCTGATAGTTTCAGGAATCAAAAGGCACATACCCTTCTTAAAATGGGAGATTCATTTAATTATTCTTTATTGTTGCTAGTTACAGTTGTTAATAATGGACAATATGCACAAAGATCTTTAGCTACTTCAGAACCTAGAGCTGAGAAACGAAATTATAATTCATATGCTTGCTTAGCTATTTATTTGTATAATGCTGATCCTCATACAATTCTTGCAGCCCTATTACATAACATTTTGTTTTATTTTCATAATTTCTGCATCTATTCTGAGTCTGGAAGATGCACATCTTTTTAACTTCTATCACCACACAAAAATTCTGTGCCTTATGTTAAATGGTATTAGTATTGACTGTAAGGAATTAAAAAGTGTTAAGGTGTGATGGCTACATTGGCATGATTATACTAAATTTTCATAAAAGCTTCCTATTGGTTCACTGGGAGGAACAGACAGGCACACAGATGATTATACCATATGCCTATAGGCTACAAAGGTTTAAAATTTATGGTAGTAATAGACGTACCTGTAGGACCCTCTGTGAAATGCAGCAGGTACAGTGCTGCATAGAATGCTTCATTACCAGCACACATGAAGAACAGAACAGGTTTTGATGTGTAGTAGATGCGCATTATAGGATTCTCTGACAGGTCAATGAACTTGTGACTTGTCTTGCCCTGCAACAAGCTCCTGGAAATACAGATCAAAATATCATATTGGTGGCACATATTTTTGATGTGTCTGTAAGAATATTTTTGATAATAGCAGGGTCAGGATAATAATAAGACTCTGGTTTTATCATGTTTAAGTAGTTAACAGATGTGTTAATAATTCCCATACATAACTGGATTATATGTTTTTATTCAGTATGGCAGGGAAGTGGGAAATATTCATAGTATAAAATCAATAATACCAACTGCGTGGAACATTTCTTCTTGAGAAGTTTGCTGTTCCTTAACTAGTCGACAAATTCACTCCCTTTAAGAAACCTAAAGTTCAGTACCATGTTCACAATTGTGCACCATTGAACTCTATACTAAGACCAGTTGCATATGGAAAAAATGGATTCCAGAAATATAAGGTAGTTGTGGAACACTGAATAAGCACTCAGAATTACTGGTTTTTGGACTTGGTCCAGTAATTACGATGAGCTCTTCCTAAGGGACCCAACACATTAGGTGTTTCCTCCCTCACCTGAGGATGGAAATAGATCCAGTTTCTGAAACTTTGTGTTCTCTAGTTTTCAGAATATCAGATTATGGATAAAGATCCAAAACCCATTAATTCGGAGTGTTATACACCATTATCAGAACCCTTCAGAATCTACTGAATAAGCAGTTGTTAAGAATTGGCAAAATTTGTCTTACAGCATAGGGTTGAATGGAGGGACTGACAACCTCTGACCATAAGAAATTAGCATTTTATAAAATGTCACACAGGACCTCCAGCCATACTTGTAATATTATTTATTAAATAGTTAAGAAATCTATGCCAGCATATATGAGGGTCATACTGAAAGTCATGAGCAACAATTTTTTGTAAAGTAGCATGCTTTATTATTGACAAACCAAATACACCACCTCAATCTACAGACCTTTCTTTATATTTCCACATAATCGCCACTTCTTTGTACACATTTCTCCCAGTGTTCTGGGAGTTTGAAAATTCCCCTTCTGTAAATTTCCATTCCAACCATCCGAAGACACTGACGCACTGCCTTCTGAATTGCCTCCGTCGTCTCAAAACATTGTCCACGCAGCTGATCCTTCACAAATCCGAATTTGGTGAATTTCTGCAGCAGGGATTTCCTCTTTCACAAGAAATTCGATGACAGCACGCTGGCAAAATGACATATCATTGTCGGCCATTTTGTTAGGAGTGATACTGGTCACATGATGCAAGCTATTGACGTTACAAGACACTCGAGGTTAACACAACAGCTGATTCCACCTACTACTGTACTCTCTTTCGTTTGCTGTTCCCAGGTTGCATGCCAAAAAAAAAGTTGCTCATGACTTTTGGTACGACCTACGTATTATTAAAATGCAAATTGTTCACTTTCAAAAACATCTCACTTTCTGAAGAATTGTCTTCTGGGGTATAATGCCATGTAGTCCAGTGAAAGTCAGCCAGTGTTTCTGAGGAACATATCATCTTCATCTTCAGGGTTTAAGAGTAACCCAATGAAGAAACCAGCATGAAGCTCCTTTATTTTGATTTCTTGATTAACTTACTCTTCAATCCTGAACATGGATGTTGGCTGAGTTTCACTGGACTACATTATATGCCAGAAGACAGAAATCTACATAAATGCTGTGAGAACCTCACATCATACATTTCTTTCTGCTTGAATTGATAGCAGAATTTAAATTTGTAGCTCAATTACATTTTCTTGCATCTTTCTAAAATTGACACGAAGCCAGTCAACAGCTGACAAAGAAACAACATAAAATGTCCCCATACTCAGCATTCTGAAACCATTTACAACCTAAAATTTCCTAAACTATTCAGTTCTGATTGACACTAATTTGAACTCCCTGAGGTCCACAAACTTCCCTGTTGGATCCTGATAATATATTCATATTTCACATCCACAGAAGAGTTGGTCTGCTCCCCTAATGTGAGTTCTGAATATATCCTCTACTACTACTAGGTGGGCACTACCATACATTAAGAACACTGGCCTGTGTTTTACAGTTTCTTAATCATACAGACAGTCGGTACAACTCCTTGGACAGGGATCACACCATGCAAGGCTGCTACCTACACAGGACAACACAAACACAAAATAAATTCAGACAAATATCCATACTTTGAATGGGATTCGAACCCATGACCACAGTGTCTGAGTGGTGAAGAAAGGTCATATCTTAGACCATGCAGCCACTGTGATTGGACTGAATTATGTCCTTGTTTTCAGAATCATTGTAAAATATGTATATTTATGTACTCATCTCTGAAATTCATCCACAGTATGCAGTTTTTGTCTCATTTCCAGGTATTTAGTCACTTATCATAAATTGAATTTAATGTTGTGATGCAAATCCTGCTTACACTCTTCCAAGATATACAAATTCTGAATGAAAGCATAATATGATGTATAAAGAAAATACATAAAGACAAAATCGAATCAAAATTAAACTACAAATAATGTAAAAATTCAGTTCCAATTCATTATGATAACTGCACATTCTTTATATCTTAGCCAGTCTAATAAGTGGCGTGGCTGTAGAACACATAGCCAACTTATGTCCTATTTATTACAGAAAGCTACTCATTCTCCATATATAGAAATGTTGTTTCAATGTGAAATTTTAAGTTAAAATACATAAAGTGATTTCTCTTTTCATTCAGTCTGAATCACTTTAAGAAAAATTGTTTTCAATATACCTACAGAAATATTGTTATTGTTATATGTAATTGCACTTTGTGTCAGATAATGATGACCATTCAATGCTCTATGTGGAATCAAACAAATGTTTTATCAGTCAAAAAAATTATCTTACGTATGCAGATAAATCCAGTGACATGCAATGTCTATGGTCATGCTTAGTTGAAACAGGAACATATATTGTGGATAAAAGTAGCTCAGGGTCACCAGAAGACACATGGTACCACATCGATCTGTCAGCTGGTCCAACATTGCACCAAACTTGGTACCTGAAGATCAATGAGACCACAGGATTTAACACTTCAGTGAGGAAATTTAATTCTCAATTATTTTCAGTCTGCAGTAGTATTTTCAAATACTTTGTACATTATTACTTAAACTTCAGTCAAATCAATTATTCCTTCTTGGAATAATATCGGAATTCTCTAAAACTTTGGCTATTTTTCCATACAGTACACAACAGAATGCTTTAATACGTAGGGAAGTCAATAATTATCCGCAATGTAGCTATAAATTTTATTTCGATACAAATAGAAAACTTATATTAGCATCATTTTTCAACATAGTCCCCTTGCTTTTCAACGCACTTGGTCCATCATCGCACAAGCTTCCTGATGCCCTCAGAAAAGAAGGTTTTCAGCTGAGCAGTGAGCCACGCATGCACCGCTTCCTTCACTTCTTGGTCCGAGGTGAATCAACGGCCCCTTAATGCCTCTTTGAGTGGACCAAACAAGTGGTAGTCAGAAGGGGAGAGATCAGGACTATACGGAGGATGAGCCATTACATCAAACTTGAGTTTCCGGAGGGTTTCAGCAGTATGGGCAGCAGTATGTGGACGGGCATTGTTGTGCAACAACACAACAACTTTCGACAGTAGTCCTTGGCGTTTGCTTTGAATTGCAGGCTTTAGCCTGTCAGTAAGCATCTCACTGTAACGAGCACTGTTTATTGTTGTGCCCCTCTCCTGATAATGTTCCAGTACTGGGCCTTTTGAGTGCCAAAAAACTGTAAGCATCAGTTTTCCTGCGGATGGTTGGCTTTTGAACTTTTTCTTGCTGGGCGATTGTGGATGTTTCCATTCCATACTCTGCAGTTTACTCTCCGGCTCGCAATGATGGATCCATGTTTCGTCACCAGTGATGACTCTGTCTAAGGACATCACATTTGTTACCATAGCGACCCAAATGTTGTTGGCAGATGTCCAAGTGTGTTTGTTTGTACAACACTGAGTTGTTTTGGAACTCATCTTGCACAGACTTTATGAAACCCAAGTCTGTTGTGGATGATTTCGTAGGCAGAACCATGACTAATTTGCAGACGATTTGCCACTTCATCAATAGTCACTCGTCTGTCTAACAGAACCATGTCACATGCATGCTCAGTGTTGTCCTCATTTGTGGCCGTGGAAGGTCGTCTGGCTCCTTCCTCATGTGTAACACTTGTGCGACCATTTTTTTATTTTTCAATCCATTCGTAGACACTCCGTTGCAGCAAAACACTGTTCCCGTATTGTGCGGAAAGTCTTTGATGGATTGTGGCCCCTGATACACCTTCCGACCACAAAAACCAGATCACTGAACGTTGCTCTTCTTTGGTGCAAACAGAAAGTGGAGCACCCATGATTAACGGCAAGGCAGCGATGATGGAACTGACCTAGCAACATCAAACCTGCGCAGAAATAATGACAAGGAAACCATGCATGGCGATGCTGCGCAAAACGACAGTGCTGCCAACAGAAACACAAATACAACTGTATTGCGGATAATTAGTGACTTCCCCTCGTACAAATTCGTAATAAGTAAACAAAGAATATGCAATGATATTTTTAAGAAATTAAATCTTAAATAAATTTGTTGGAAATTAACATTATTTCAGCCATGGAAGTTGAGATAAAAAAATATAATACATCAATCAAAAAACGGTTAGGTTATGATGAAATAATTAGTACAATTGTGAAAACCTGTTCATCTTCAATCAGTGTTCCTTTAAGTCATCTTTGTAATCACTCAGTACAGATATTTTTCCTAACTGGCTTAAAATCTCAATAGTGAAACCAATATATAAAGAAGGAGATAAGTTTTGCATGACCGACTATGCACCTGTTTCTCTGTTAACCAGGAAGTTATGTGTATTTATGTGTAACAGGTTAAATCATCTCACCCATACTAACAACATTTCTGTCCCAGCAAAATTTGGCCTCAGGAAGGGCATATTCACTGAAAAATCAATATTCATGTTAACTGACTATTTAAAGCCATTAACCAAAGAGTGCATATAATTATGGAGTCATTTTTGGGCATAACTCACCTGACAGTAAAAGGATATTTGCTTTACAAAAAAATATCATTAGAATTATGGTTTGTGCCAAATGTACTATTTCATGTCAAAGTATATTTAAGAGATCAGAGATTCTTCCTGTTCCATGTAAATATACAGTGTCAATACAAGAAACAAGGCCAACTGTAAATATTACTTGTTCCCAGAAAAGTGCAGTTTATAATGTTATGGCTTATTCTGTATTCTGTTGTTACCTTGCAAATTCTGGATTTAAGGAATATAAATCTATATATACTTATATATACATAAATGCCAGTAAATATTTTACAGCTGTCTCTGCTCAAAGAAAAGGGAAGTGTTTTTTCTTGTCATACATAAGTTCAGACCACATTTTTATAAACTGTAGCTACTAGCTTCAAAGCTAGAGGTGCACATAAGGTCCAGAACAGACTGGTGGCCTACATAGTCAGGGAATTGTATTACATCATGTCTTACAACTACTGTAAAGCAGGACGTACAACGAAATTCTTACTTCTAAAATGTTATTCCCTTAAGAGCACATATCTGCCATAGTGACCACTTGTCATTTATATGTGAGATATGTAATTTTATGACTATAATATAGAGTGGATTATTTACTATGTCTCATGTATGACTGCATCTGAAGAGAAATGTAAGAATTAATGATGAGCAGAATATATGTAATTATTATAGCTTAACACATAAAAACTCAGAAGGCACTAAATGTCAGCTATTCTGCTTGCCTTGATTCAGATTTTCTTTGGTGGGGGGTGGGGTACTTCTCTGGATGAATGCAGAGACAGTATCCTCAAGTAGGTCACAACTGCCTCTGTACTTAACATTCCCACCTCATAACTCGTAGTACGTGGGTTCAAATACCCGGCGGAGGTCGCCGAATTTTTAAGGGAGGAAAAATTCAGGGAACAAGTCCTCCAGGAGGGACTTTAAGCCATGGGTCCCATGTCGTAGCTTTACGGCACGTAAAAGAACCTCATATCTCCAAAGGAGGTCACTGAGCCAAATTAACGGACGTTTCCCGCCCAACAGCAGTCTCTAATACCTCTGGTAGATGAGGGAAGCATTATATACCTCTCAGCTAGTAGAACCAGTCTCGCTGGCTGGGTGGGACTGATGGTAAGCACCAGTACCAGTAGGATATAGAGACTGGTAGAAATCATAGAGGGAAGCACAATGGACCAATACAGGTCTCAGTGCATGGGGAAATCCACCCTCTCCAATAACTAACTAACTACTCTTCATAATCACCTTTGTTTGTTATTCTGTGCTGTATAAACTACAAATATGAAACAGTATCATTAAATAGACTAAGAATCTGTCACATAGAAAGTAAATTTACTTTGATTGAAGTAACGAGCTGCGTGACCATCAAATGCATCAAGCAAGCTGCTGATGAAGTAGCACCAACATGATACTACATAATTTGTTGGCATATAATAGAATGACACAACTGCCAGCACAATCCTGCCATAACCTGAAAAAATAAACCATTCCTATTATATTCTGTTTTTCCCAGATATAATAAGCTACTCTTAGTCCTAGATATTTTGAATGAAAAGTCCTTTCATAGAGTACAAGTAATGTGTGTTGAAAAAAGAAAGCATTTATGAAACTTTCAAGCCTTTAAGAGCAGTTCCTTATTCATCCCTGCATGCAAGACAATTTTCATATAACGACATGCTGTGCTATTTATTGATTACAGGCTCACCCCTCTGCCATGATGGGAGGAGGTTAAATGTTTCTCAGTGTGGAAATACAGACTTGAAGACTAAAATTGTCACCTGAGTACTGGAGTGAACTATGTTCATCAACACCACTTTTGGGGTTAAATGTGATTAGAACAAAACACATTCTGCTATACTTGCAAGTAAAGTAAACCTATGGAAGCATGTAGAGATAGTGCAACACAATATGGGGAATTAGGATCGTGCATGATCTCATTTCACCCAAAAGTGGTGAGAAAACACTCCAATATTCAGGCAATGCAATGTCTATGCACTCCTCTAAGGTTCTGTGAACTATGGGAAAACTGTGTTTTGGAAAATTTGGAAGACAATTTATCTATATACTGTATTGTATTTTAACAAAATATACACAATAAATACAGAAGTATGTTACTGAATTAACTTCTCCAATAGTAGAGAGTTAACAAGAAGTTCTGGAGAAGATGAGTTCTTGAAAAAGTAGTAGTATGCATAAAGAAATATGCTTGATACAGCTGGCCAGTTCAGGGCTTCTCTATCAGAACAGTGGCAGAATGAACCTTGTACAAGAGTCTTATCTTCCAGGATATAACGCTGTGTAGTCAATTGGAAGTCGACTGACATTTTGGTAGCTATGCTTGCTGCCTGCTTAATGCTGGTTTCTTCTTTGGCTTATTCCTTGACCCTGACAATGGAGGTGACATGTTGCCCTGCAACATCAGTTGACTTTCTATGATCTACATGGTGTTGTATGCCGGAAGATAGAACTGTTCATAACAACCACTGTGAGAAACTCAAATCCTACATTGTGTATGAAAACTGCAGAAAAATTGTTACAGAAATTTGTGATTGCCAAGGATCGGCCATATTACTTTCAAATTACTGTGGTCACTAATGTAACGTACAAACAACATGAAAGACATACCTATTATATTTGGTACAAAAAGGAAAATATTTTCTGCAGTCATGGTGATAACTCAGTTTACTTAGAGACTTATCTGTGTAACGGGTAATCCAAGTAATCTGTAAATAGGACAGACAAGAACCAAATCAATATTGTAACCACCATACATACACTCACAGCACTATGTTAACCTAGGGACAACAGACTGATTACTTTCTCCCTAATCTTCTTTGATTACACACACTTCATACATCTTCAAACTGCTTGATCTTATCATGTAACTGAAGAGTTCTATCCTTTGGGATATAACACTGTGTAGTCCACTGAAAGTCAACAAAAGTTTCAAAGGAACATGTCACCTCCATCTTCAGCGTCGAAGAATAAGCCAAGCAAGAAATCATTATGAAGCAGGTAGCAAGTAGAGCAACATGTTCCTCCAAACATTGGTTGCCTTTCAGCAGACCATATGGCATTACATCCTAGAAAACAGAACGCTTCATAACTAGCACTGTAAGAACCACAAGTCCTTCTCAGCTAACCTTAAGCATTCTCTGGCACAATATGCATAAAATTAACAAGTAACAGGGCAGTTATTTATATCTGTGTGTGTGTTCATTTGCATGTTTAATCTCCAGTAAGCTTCACCAGACTACACAGCATTATGGCACCTGCAGGAGAAGGGAGGCATGTCAGGCATCTCTCCCCTCCCCAAAACATTAAGAAAAAATTAAAACTGATAAGAATGAATTATAAAACCAAAAGTAATACCAGAATTTAAAATACGAGGGTCGTACTGAAAGTCATGAGCAACAATTTTTTGTAAAGTAACATGCTTTATTATTGACAAACCAAATACACCACCTCAATCTACACACCTTTCTTTATTTTTCCACATAATCGCCACTTCTTTGTACACATTTCTCGCAGTGTTCTGGGAGTTTGAAAATTCCCCTTCTGTAAAATTCCGTTCCAGCCATCCGAAGACACTGACGCACTGCTTTCTGAATTGCCTCCCTTGTCTCAAAACGTTGTCCACACAGCTGATCCTTCACATATCCGAAAAGATGGTAGTCAGAGGGTATAGGAGGGGTGTGGAAGAACTTCCCACCCCATCTTTGCAACTATTTTCAATGTGAGGTGAGCGGCATGGGGGTGAGCGTTGTCATGCAGGATGATGATGTTTCGTCCCGGACGTTTATTGTGCAATGCACGACGGAGCTTGTGCAGCGTCTGGACATAACGAGCAGCACTGATGGTTTGCCCAGGTTCCAGGAATTCGGCCAGAATAAACCCCTCTGCATCCCAGAAGACTGTGCCCATCACCTTCGCAGCTGATGGCACTGTCTTTGCCATCTTTTTTGATGGAGAATGCAAATGGTGCCATTCCATACTCTGCCGCTTCGTTTCAGGCTCGAAATGGTGAAACCAGCTTTTGTCACCTGTCACAATACAGAGCAAAAAATCATCGCCTTCATGTCAATATTTCTGCAGCAGTTCTGTGGTGATGGCTTTTCGCTGACCTTTGTGGTCTACGGTCAATAACCATGGGACCCAACGAGCACAAACTTCCCTATAGCCCAAGCTTTTAATCACTGTGCCCTATTCCAAGTTTTCAGGCTATTGTGTCCACAGTCACACGCCTGTCATCTTGAATGATCTCATCCACTCTTTCCTTGTTGAATTCAGTTGAGGCTGTTTGAGGACGACCGCTCCGAGGCTCATCTTCGATGCTGGTGTTCCCATCTTTAAAATGTTTCACCCATCTTCGAACACTGCTCACACCCATGCACACGCTTCCATAAGCATGCTGAAGTCTCTGGTGAATTTCTGCAGCAGGGATTTCCTCTTTCACAAGAAATTCGATGACAGCACGCTGGCAAAATTCACTTTTATATACGAGTATACCTAAACCACCATACTCCAAACATGACTTTTAACAATCTAGGCATGCTTAATGAAGAAAATGGAAAATTCATGTACATACAGCTTGTCTTTGATGAATTGTACTTGCATACTTCTTCATATATGATAGGCAAGTTAAACTTGAGCCTCACACTATAAGGATTCTCAAAAAATATATATAAAATATGTTCCTATTTTTACAAATTTAAATTCATTATAATTCACAACACTACAAGTGGCTTGTCTAACACTGCTGCTATGATGTATCTTGTGATATTCTCCTACGTTAAAATGTCGTTGCAACTTCTTGGAACAGTGTTGTTTTAAATTACTTAAAATAAGGCATTCTACTTAAAACATATTTCACTGTGAAAAACTTGAATTATTACAGTGTTAAAAAGTGTTGTATATTATTATACACTAGAAAACTTGATGTTATGGCTGGTTACATAATCAGTATTTGCTTGTGTTTAAAACACAGTTACAGAAACTGATGAAGCAACAAACAAATAACTGGTAACAATCCATTTCCATTGCAGAGAACCATTGAAAACTGCAGCCTCAAGATAACTTTAAGTATCTACAAGGAAAACCAAAAGGGTTACAATAGTAATGCAGGAAACACAAAACTACAATTTCAGCAAATGAGAGAGGTTGTAGTAATGGCACAAGATCCATAATGGATAACAAAGCACTGAAATATGTTAGTATTTATGGAGAGATGTATATTCACTGTGCACTATGTCCCTTTTGGTTCATGGCGCGCGCACGCGTGTGCGTGCGTGCGTGTGTGTGTGTGTGTGTGTGTGGAGTGGGGGAAATTGCAAAGCCAATACCAGGCTCCTTATTGCGGTCCACAAGTTGCGAGCCTACTCCTAACTTGAGTGTCAAGAGATGGCGTTATCAAACCTTCTGTTATCGATATTTTATTTTCCTCTTGAGATAAATCAGCACTATTGATTTATAATATTTGTAATTTACTAACTGAAACTGAGCCACTACAAGCTTTTCTTATCCACTGATCCAAGTACGAACCTTTTCAAAACGGCATTAAGTTTTCGCAGGTACCAATTTTCAATGCTTTAAGCCAACCTCTAAAATCCTCTATAAGCTCTATAAGCAGCCTACACCATGGATTACTAAGTTCGGATTTGGTATATATCGATATAATTATCGAGTTGGTAGATATCATTGTTCCGTTCTATTGATCAACTATTTGAGTCAGTAAATTTGTAATAAAATCAGAATTATTGTAAATAACTTTAATGCTCATGTTAAGTTATGGATTTATAACTTAAAAATATCTTTTCATTTTGCAGGAAATGTTGTAGAATGGAGTGTGGATTTCACTTATCGATGTTTTACATCAATGAAGTATCGAAAGCATAAACTAATCGATTTCCTATGTCGATTGTTCTGAATAATTTTTTTTGTTGTGTCGTTTGAGTCAGATCACGAACGGTACAATGCTTATAAGTATAATGATGTTTTAAATTATTAATAGTGTAATATGAATGCTTCGTGTGTTTCACAGAATTTGCGTAATAATTGCACGCATGCGTAAGGGAGTGTGTTTTACCTGTAGCCAATCAGCAGACTCAGGACCCCCTGACATTCAAGATGGCACCATGGCCTGAACAAGGCAACGAACCCAAGGCACCTGATAAATCGTGTAGTAAAGGTGGCGACAGCAGTTTATCGGACTCAGCGAAAGTTATCTCAGGGACAACGGAGGACGTTGAAGCGACTGACACTGCAAATAAAACCGACTACAAACAGGTATTGGTATGGAATTTATTATCAGACGTACTTTCTTGCACATTTTAGGAAATGGATTTTGCAGTCTGTCACAGTTTGCTCTTTTAAGTAGATTTAAGTAGTGTTTTTCGTTTTGAAGTTTGAACCTCAAAAGTTTAAAGAGTTCCAAAGTTATTCATTTCAGATAGTCCGTTTTAAGGCAGATCGTAATAGTTCTAATTTACTTCGGAGAGTCGTTCAGTTAGTACTGTGTTAACATCTTTATCGGCTTTAGAAACAAGGCACTTGTGAAGTGGGAGTATTTCAGATGTGAATGAAGCTCTTAAAAAGGAATTTATATTTTTCTGTAATGTTAGTGGGTTCTGATATGACTGGTGCAAGTTCTCAGGTTTAGAAGTGAAGATGCTCAGTTTCTGTGTCAGTTAACCTTTTGAAACCCAGTGATTGAGTATGTACAGCCTTTTTTAGCGTATCAAAACTGTATACTGCCCACACATTATGTGTGCATTTCATATGGTCCACACAGTAAATGGCATTTGTTTCCCTAAACAGTGTTAAGTAGATCTTTGTAGTGGAGATGTAATGTGTTTCATGTGAGGTGTATTCTGAATTTGTATATATTAATTAGAAGACATTCAGGCTTTAATGGGTTAATGGCTAAAGTTATTCAGCTTTCTTTATTGTTGGTAAATATATTTTGTGCATGTTCATGTTACTTATAAGGAGAGAGTTATTTCTGTACTAATATGAATTTTCATATTTACCTCCAGGTGTAGGTTTCTTTTGAACTTTTCAGTAGTCATCATTGCTCGTCATGTGCAGGCCTTTGTTAAAGTAATGGAATTTTCCTGATGCATGTGATTCATATATTAAGATCATAGTCTTAAAGAGTTTAAATAATGCATAGGTAATTGTAGTTTTCTTCTCATGTAACTCTTTTGGCCTAATTTCAATTTCTTAATAATACGAGTTTGTGAGATTCTAGCAGATTTGCTTACAGTCTGTTCTGGCACTAAATGACATGCCTTGGCTCCTTTCACCCTTCTTTTCCATTGGTTGTTTCAGATGTGTGAATTATGTCTCAAAGTATGAAATTGTTGTAACCCAAATATACATTGATACTTTTACATACAGAACATCCACAAACATTCAGAATTACTGGGTTTTTGAACTTTTTCCTTTGTCCAGTATGCTAGAGACTAGAAACATGGTGTTTTGGAAACCAGATCTGTTTCTGTCCTCAGGTGAGGTGGGAAGGCACCTACTCAGTTGGGTCCCTTGGAAAGAGCTAACTTCAATTACTGGACCTTGATCTAGGATCCACTTGATCCACTGGATCTGGTTCCATCCTAAGGTGAGCAGGGAAAATATCAACTCAGTTGGGTCCTTTAGAAAGAGCTAACATCGATCACTGGACCTTGATCCAGGATCCACTGGATCAAGGTCAAGTAATCAAGGTTAGCTCTTTCTAAGGGACCCAACTGAGTAGGTGTCTTTCCCCCTCACTTGAGGATAAAAACAGATCTAGTTTCTGAAACGTCATGTTTTCTAGTCTCTAGAATACCGGACTATGGCAAAGGTCCAAAAACTGAGTAATTCTGAGTGTTATACACTAACGTCAGAACTCTCTAGAATCTACTTACTCACAAATATATTTTGATACTGGTTTGTTTCACATTTTGAAATAAATATATTGCCATGATATAAATGGTTCTACTTGGTGTCATAGGGGGAATAATTGTAGTGCCCATTTTATAAAGGATTTTGGGAAGAAGCTTTTATATGAACTTAAAGTGACATAGAGAGACTTGAAAGGATTCTGACGATGGTGTATACACTACTTCTTTTGGTTTATTTTGGACTTTATTTAAAGTGACATGTTCTTACTTATCTTGGAAATTCTTACTTTGTGTGTAAAACATATGTAATGCTTAAAGATAACACACAAATTACACTTGTCAGTCATCAGTTCACAATGTTAATATGAAGTGTCATAATTAGCAGAGACTTCTTATTAAATCTAACTAATTAGGAAGGTCCAGGGAAACCAGGTGGGACTGAAATTAAACGGGACACATCAGCTGATGGTCTACACCAATGATGTGAATCTACTGGGTGATAATGTAGATACCATAGAGAAAAACGCACAAACTTTAATGGACGCAAGTAAAGAGGTTGGTCTAGAAGTAAACACAGAGAAAACTAAATATATGTTACTGTCTCATCACCAGAATGCAGGGAAAAATCATGACATAAAGATAGGAAACAGATGTTTTGAAAATGTGGCACAGTTCAGATATTTGGGAACAACGATAACAGATTAAAACCTGATTCAGGAGGAAATTAAGAGGTGATTGAACTCGGGTAATGCTTGCTACCATTCAGTCCAGAACCTTTTGTCTTCTCGTCCATTGTCCAAAAACATAAAAATTAGAATATACGAAACTATAACTTTGCCTGTGGTTCTGTATGGGTGTGAAACTTGGTCTATGACATTAAGGGAGGAACATAGACTGAGGGTGTTTGACAACAGGGTGTTGAGGAGAATATTAGGACCAAAGAGAGATGAAGTGACAGGAGGTTGGAGAAAACTGCATAATGAGGAGCTTCATAACTTGTACTCTTCTCCAAGTATAATTAGAATGATCAAGTCAAGGAGGATGAGGTAGGCAGGTCATGTAGCACGGATGGGGAGACGAATGTGTATAGGATTGTGGGAACATCCTACATTATCACGTTGGGGTCACCAATGTGGGGCTCTTAATGTAGTTTTTGTTATTACTCCGATGACAACCCACTTCTTCGGAACAGTTTGTTGGCCCTGAAAAGGACCGTGGTTGCTGAGATGCTTGATCGGAGAGGTAGCATGGTGCGCGCCGGTAAGGAGAGAGGCTAGTTGCGGTGAGTGGCCTGGCCGCAGTGCTGCCGCGTGGGGCAGAAATTGCCTGTCGATGTTCAGCATGCCAAGGAAACGGCGGAGCTGACTGGCGGTTTTGGGAGGTTGACATTCCTGGAGGTGAGTCACTCGTTCTTCCAGGAATGGCAACCTCCAGAAGGAAAGAGACCACAGGGAAGACCAAGGCATAAATGGGTGGACAATATTAGAATGGATCTTAGAGAGACAGGATGGGATGGTATTGATTGGATAGATATGGCTCACGATAGGGACCAGTGGAGGGCTCCTGTGAACACGGTAATGAACCTTCGGGTTCCATAAAATGCTGGGAAATTCTTGAGTAGCTGCAGAATTGGCGGCTCCTCCAGAAGGGATCAGCTCCATGAGTAAGTAAGTAAGTAAGTAAGTAAGTACATGTAGAGATGACGGTAATTACTGGTTTTTCTCTTCTCTTTGCCTTCAGATTCTTAGCTGTGTAGTCATTGAATTAGTGATTTTGTCTGTATTGCTCCTTCCTGTTATCTTGCCCACTGCTAGTGTTATGCTTTTCGTATACCAGCTGCACAGTTACTTTTCTAATAATTCAGTATCATTAAAAAATATCCATGGCTCCTATTCAAGGAGGCCCTTAGAATGATAGAAGTAAATACGGTGTATTGAATGTGTACTATAGGCTTATTTATAGGTATATAGATATATTACATAGATTTTAGTAAAGCTAGATGTGAAACACATCAGAATACAAGACATCGCATTCAGAGAATACCTAAAGACACAACACTGATATTTTATTGCCCCTTTAGGAGACCATAACCTGGAAACACTCCTTCAAGTGTTGACTTTAGTAACTGAATAGATTTTAAACATGACACACTGGAAGGTAATTTGCATTGTTAACACAAGAAATGTAAATACAGAAATCAGAACAGTTAGGTGACTGTTATGCAACAGCCTGGCATTTTAATAGTTGTTTGCCTGTTTATTAAATAAGTTGTTCTCAGAGTAGAGGTTGTATAACAGTGAGTGGTAAACCGATTACAAATTATGAAATGTGAAGAAGGTGGAAAGAAGTGGTTTTGACCCATTTTGAAATATACTGACAGTAGCCTGAAGGGGCTGAGGAAAACTAAGAAATCCTTAGTAGTAAGATGTTTTCAGAAGGATATTACTTTGTAATGGTATTGATAGGAATGTCATGGAATGGTCAGTTACGAAGGACCATACAGGAGTCTGTCCAGATACACAGTTTGGCTTTCATGTCATTATGTAAACATTCAAAGGAGCAGTAGCATCAAAATACATGAAGATGGCAGTACATCCATGATATTTAACCCCCTGTATCAGGATCGTTCTTTAGAAGCTGATAATTGGTCATCTGGTCAGTAAATACCTGACTTCTGTGAAGTCTAAATGTTCATTAATGTGTTCACAATAAATAGTTTACCCTTCCTGTCACTCTTGAAACATGAGAGGATAATGTAATAGAAATATTATGCATATATGCATATCGCAAGACATCCACGATAATTAGCTCCATGAACCATGGTCTTTCTTGAGAAGATGATAGTTGCTCAGCTGGCCATGAAATTCTTCTTTTAATGTCCCCTGAAAATGCATTTACTGAGTTTGCTGGAGCTCACATCCAAGTCAAAGCTGAGATGAACATTTCTGCTTTTTTCTTTTATCAGAATCATTTAGTGCTTAGAGTATTGCTAGAGAGATGGATTCACATGATAGTTGCTGCAGTGTTTTGTTCTTACTGCAATGAGAAAATCTGATTTTATTCAGGCATGTTGTGGAAAAGGGGATAAATCTGAGAACCTCCACATTCTGAATGTAAGTGCCCATGAAGTAGACTTCCACAGAAATGAAGGAAGAGGCTTCAATTTAACTTTCACTTCACACGGAATCTGTAATAGGATAACCAGACTCTCAGTACTTTCTTTTTGAATGATGCTGTGTAGAATGGTGGATAGGTATAAAGATTTTGGAGTGATCTGTTGCCTTTGTCTTCAGGATAGAAGAATGAGTGAGTGGGGAGGGAAGTGGTACATGGCATAGGGAAGGGAGGACTGGCTTTATGAATGAGTAAATGAATGGGAATTGGTAGCCCTTAAAAATCTAT